TTCGAAAATATCAAAAGTTCAACGATATCAGTTTCACTATAAATTCTGAATTTTTAAACATGTGTAGCTATTATACCTACTATTCTGAAAAGTGCTGGGAGCTGGTTGTGCATTGTTTATTTATTCCGTAATGTAACATTATTTCAATGCGTATTACATTTTTGTCTGGAGTTTATAGAAAGACAGCTAAATTTTAAACAATTCTCGAGCATGAGGAAGTTGCTCCCAGCATTTTTCGTGTTAAGGAATTTGTCTCAAAGAAAACACAATCAATTTCATAGTGGAAAGATACCAGTATATCGTTGAACTTTTACGATCTTATATCTTCTAATTTTAAACCTGTCACGTGACAAATAGCTGATGTAAGCGAAGTCGCTTTGACCGAACTCAGCAGAGACTCGATATATACATGTGCAAACACCACAAATAACATTTATCAAAAGTAATGCTGTTAAAAAAAATTTTTAAATTGTATTCATTTTCCCTGAATATATTAAGGCGTATATCTCATTGGCGTCCTTAACCTAGCTGCAAACCCAGTAAAGGTCTAAATTTGAAGCCCTTCACCGGTATATGGTGACGTACGTCTCTATATGAGTGAAAAATTCTCGAATGGGACGTAAAACAACATACAATCAATCAATCAATCTACTCAACCTCAACATCGGGTGATCCTGTTACAACCCATTTTTTGCCAGAATATGTTATAGTCATTGAGTAATCAAGGCCTGAAAGGCCTGAGAGTCGACTCGCTCTTAAGTTACATGTATACGGAGAGCAGTTTTATACAGCATAACAAATGCAGATACGTGCAAAATGAACTTTTCCAGATCATTCTATTTTAATGAAAAAAATGAGCACTTTATTGGTTTGTTAATCTGCTTGGAAATATTTCTACGGATCCATTCTTTATACATTGTAGTGTTCAGCAAAAAGACTACTTTTTAGTTCAAAGCGAAACGTGTTTGTAATAAACCAGAATGAATCGGAGGAAGGTAAGTTGGAAATTTACACCACACCTTACATAAAGTTAATTATCAACTTATAAGTGGTTGAATATGAGGTCTCTATCTTAGTTTGTGAAAAAAAATATAGTAAAGGTTAAGCCTGCAAAAAGACAAATAAAACATATAAAACAAGAGGTACTTTGATCGATCTCACAAAATTATACCCACGCTACAGTTTTATTAAAGTACATACTTAGTATTTTAAATGTGAACTTGTCAAAATGACCTTGGTTTTTAAGAAATGTCATGGCATCTGGTCAAAAATATGGATATTCAATTTTTCTCCACTATAAAATTATGGACCGACATGAATTTCACACTTTTTCTTCCAGTGACCTTAAACTTGCAACAATGACCCTGGGTCAAGGTTATGACATACCTTCAGCTCATGAATGTTCTTTGAAGTTTCAACTTCCAATACTTATCCATTAGTAAGAAATGTACTTGACACAAATTTCATACTTTTTTAACCAGTGACCTTGAACTTGCCAGAACGACATTGGATCATGGTCATGACACACATTCAGGGACATAAGTATAATTTGAGTGAAATATGGATTTAAAATGTTTTCTATTAAAAAGTTATACATCAAGTATGAATATAACACTTTTTCTGGCAGTGACCTGTACTTACAAAAATGACCTCGGGCCAGATCATGACACATTCTTCAGTAAAATGCAATTATTTGTGTTAAGTATCAACTTCCAGTTAGCCCTCAGTTGAAGGTTATAGACCAATGACAATCAAATAATACATTTTTTTCTGCCAGTGACCTTTACCTTGATGAAATGACCTATGGTGAAGGTCAGTGCATACCCTTAGCTCATATGCAATATTTGTGATAAGTATAAGTCTCTGATATTCTCCTGACAAAATATGGCCAAGACAGGAATTAAAACATTTTACTCAAAGTGACCTTGTAATTAATCAAATGGCCTTGAATCAAGGTCAAGACACATACTTTCAGGTCATTAGCAATCTTTTTATGAGGTATAAACTTCAAATGTTTCTTCGTTAGTAGGTTTGTTGTAGATCTGGCCTGAATTTAATACTTTTCTGCCAGTGACCTTGAACTTGCCAGAATGACCTTTGGTCAAGGTCAAGATACACCCGCAGGTCATAAACAATCTTTTTACCAAGGTTAGCTTCCTGATTCTACATTACAAAGTTATAGATAAGACACAATTGTACATCCATTTAGTGTAAGTAACGAAGATGATGACCCTTAAAAATGCCTTTAAATTGTACAAATAAATCTAACGTCAGGCTGATCGATACGTTTCTGACGCAAGTCATTGTGACGAAGGCAATTTAGTTTATACGATATAAAGTAATTTTTTATCCAATCAAATGTCGCTATACAACCATGATTAAATTATCTTCTTTTACATGGCATTTCAAAGCTTTGGAATAATAATTAAATAAAAATTAGATAAATTCAAAAAATCTTGAAAAGATGGACAGCTATTTTGACAACGAACTGTATAAATGTACTGTTTCGATAATTTCAACATAGTGTTGAAATATTCTCGATTTCATTTACATCCATTTTACAAAAAATAAAAGATTTACATGTGTAGCATATATATTCAATATCTTTTGCCTTACAAAGACTATTAAATGTTTTCAAAAATTGTTGAACAATTGGACATTCCTAGATTAAATGATAATTTGACTCCGCCTCTTCTTCACAAAAAGTATAAAAAAAAAAGTTCAAGGTGTACTGGATCTTAATTAGCTTTTTTATTCCATTTTTGAGTCGGCTTGCGAAGCGAAAAGATCCCTGTTATCATCGGCAAACTCGGGTTTTGAGCACAAACCTGTTATAATCATGCGTGGGATTATGCAAATAGTTCTTATTCTTTAGTCAATTAAATTTCAACAAAATATAGTAAATATCATTCCTATCTATTTCTTCTCTTTTAAAATATTCATGCTTATGTTTAAGGAAGCCAGCAAACCAGCTACCAGGAATAGAACAGACTTGCAGGACTTCAGCCTTTCCATCATTAACTTTCCCTATGTAATTCAAAATTGCCAATATTAATTTTCCTTACAGCGTCGATTCGATGTCTCCTTTTTAACTGGTAACAAAAAAACACGATTAAGTATTTTAATTTAGAAATCCTCGATGGCAAACTAACAACTAAACTTTATGATAAACAAGATGACTTCGAATTTTTGGTAATTGTCTACTTTTTTTATTTATGTGCCAACATATCATTTGCACTTGCATTTGGAGTTTATGTCTCCCAGTCCATTTGATATGCTAGAACAAATTCTACGCACAAACAAATTCTAAAACGAAACAAGCTTCTGACAAATAAGTCATTATATCAGCAGTCTCCTTCGTACCTCGTTTTGTTTCAATTTCTCAATCCGTCTGTCGTCAAATCTTTTAGGTGTATGTTATTCCACAATAAGTATAAAACAAAATGACTTCATTTTGTATTAAAGTAAAACGCAATGATTTTTTGTTTGTTTAATGTCTCTTAGAGTATTTAACACTCACTACCTTCCGGAGGAGAGCTGCAATGTGATCTTGAAGAAATTTCATCCTTAGAAAGTGATCTGTGAGTATAATGTTCATTTGCAGATGTAGAATTAAAATTAAGCTCTTGAAATTACAATTACATGTATAAACTGAAACGCAAAAGAAACGCAACAAGAAGTGAACTACAAATATTTGAATTTTTTTATCTTATCTAATGGTAACAAATAATTAGATCTGTACTTGGTACTTAGGGACTTTGAGCAGCAAGGGATCTTTTTTATGGAAGCACCTTCTCCGACACGATCTCGGTTTATGTGGTCTCATCCGAAGGACCGGTCTCCAAGTCCTGCAGTGGGATTCGAACCAGAGATGTAAGGATCAACTCCTAACTCTGCGACTCTAGACAAACGCTTTAACCATTGCGGGCGACCAAACGCAACGTTTTACTTGAAAATGATGTGCAAGTGTGTGAGTGTTGCTACGTGGTATTCCTTAATTTCAAAAATTAAAATGAAATGAAAATCTAAAGGAGAAAATGTTTCTACATTGTGCAATAGCATATATTGGCAGATCAAGAATCACCAATTATTTTTATTCATCATTTAAAGGAATACATCTTTCTCTAGAAAAGATTCTGGTTTTAAAAATAAATTATTTCAATATATGTATTAGTTGATTTTCAACCATGCTATAAACGTTATATATTTTGCGTGAAAAAAGAGGTCTCTTCAAATACAGTTTCTTTCTAATCTAGATACTATACAAAACTTGCTAATTCAATAATACTGACATTATCTCTATTCAATTTAATTAATTCTTCAATTGCATTGCTCCTGTCTAACTGTATCAATGCATTTAGGGCTCAGTGACTGTACTCTAACTAAAATGGAAAGCTCCTTTATTTATGACTTTTTTGCAAAAGTTTGAACGGCGTATTCGTGTATTTTTTAACTTTGTTATTATACGCTTAATAGGAATTATTGATTGGTTGTATGTTGTTAAACGTCTCATTCGAATTTTTTTCATTCATATAGAGACGTCACCGTATGCTTGTGAAAGGCTTCAAATTTAATATTATTCGGCACTCAGGACCATTGCACAGCGAAGGTCCTTTATCTCTTTACCTTCTCATTCACCCTTACACAGGAGCTCGGTTTTGAAGGACTCATCCAAAAGACCCTTATGCCGGGCGCTTGCATCACGAACTACACTCACGTCTCAGATTTGACGCAATGTGGCGAACAAGAATCGAGCCCGGCCTCTCGATCACGAATTGAGTATGGTGACCAGTTTTCTTAGGTTATTCAAAGCCTACCGTATCTATAACTCTTAGAAAATGAAACGGGATATTATATCTTAATTATATTATTTTTTTTCCGCTCCTCATCATATAAAAAGTATTATTAAATGCCATCTCAAAAAAAAAAAAAAAAAAAAAACGAAATCAGAGATGAATGTGTAGTTTTATTTTTGTAATAAAAAGCATAGTAACCTTTGA